ACAAGCAAGTGAAGGACAAGAACGGGAAACCTTTCATAACAACAGAAGAACAATGAAGAAGTGAGTAGAACACTTTGGAGAGCTATTAAATAGACCAACACCAGAAACACCTCCGGACATACAACCAGCCGATACAGACCTCCAGATCAACTGCGACAAGCCAACAAAGACAGATCAAGAGAGCAATTACCAAACTTAAGAATGGAAAATCGGCAAGTCCTGACGAGATACTAGCAGAATCCATTAAAGCTGATACAGAGACAGCTGTTGACATCCTATACAACCTCTTCAAGAAGATCTGGGAGGAAGAGAACATTCCGAAGGAATGGAAGGAAGGCATCCTTATTAAGCTGTCAAAGATGGGAGATCTGAGGGACTGCAGTAATTACCGGGGAATAATGCTCCTCTCAGTGCCTGACAAGGTCCTCAACAGGATACTTCTCGAGAGGATGAAGGAGGCAGTGGACCCAAAAATCCGTGACCAGCAGGCTAGTTTTAGATACAACATGTGCTGACCAGATAGCCAGTCTGCGCATAATCATTGAACATTCACTTGAATGGGAGTCCCCCTCCCCCCTCTGTATCAACTTCATCGACTATGAGAAAGCATTCGACAGCGTGGACAGAGACAATGTGGAAGATACTGAGGCACCATGGAGTACCCGAGAAGCTCGTCTCCCTGATTCGAAACACCTACCAAGGCATGATATGCAGAGTTGCCCATGCTGGCCAGATGTCCGAGAGTTTCGAGGTCAAGACAGGAGTTCGACAAGAATGTTTGCTGGCACCATTTCTCTTTCTCTTGGCCATTGACTGGATCATGAGGACTACCACATCAAGCAGGAACAATGGTACACAGTGGACACTCCTGACGCAACTTGAAAATCTAGACTTTGCCGATGACCTGGTTCTCTTTTCGCTCAACCACAGTCAGGTGCAGGATAAAACAACTCGCCTTGCATCAACATCAGCATGAACGGGACTCGAGATCAACTTGAAGAAAACAGAATTGATGAAGATAAACACCACTGCCCAAACACCAGTCACAGTTGGTGGTGAGCCCATCAGAGAAGTTGAGTCCTTCTTCTACCTGGGAAGTGTGGTGGACAGACAAGGTGGCACAGACCTTAACATCAAGTCAAGAATTGGCAAGGCAAGAACTGCATTTACCATGCAAAAGAACATCTGGGCCTCAAAGAACATCCGCATTACTACCAAACTGCGGATCCTCAACTCTAATGTAAAGTCCGTCCTATTGTATGGTGCAGAGACGTGGAGGTTGACCAAAGCAACCCTGTAGAAGATCCAGACATTTTACAACATCTGTCTCAGGCGCATCTTCAACATCCTATGGCCTGAAAGGATCACAAATGAAGAACTATGGAAGAGAGCAGGGCAGGAACCAATGGACGTACAAATCAGACAGAGGAAGTGGGGCTGGATTGGACACACGCTAAGGAAAGGAAATCATCATTCAGCATCAAACGCCAGACCCTGACATGGAATCAACAAGGCTAAATAAAGAAGGGACGTCCAAGAAACACCTGGAGGCCTGACTCGGAGTCAGAGCTAAAGACACAGGACATGACCTGGCAGGATGCAGTAAAAGCAGCCCAGAATCGAGTTCGTTGGAGCACTGTCGTCGATGGCCTATGTTCCTCATGGAACGACAGTAGGTTGTAATCAATTCAAGTTTTCTAAACATTTTATTTGGCCTATATGAAATTGAACACTTTATTTATGTATACTTTTTTCATTTAAATAAGCAACAGTGATTTCAGTTCATCAACACTTCGTCGTCTTTGAATAGTTTTCCTTTGGGTAAATGGCAGGTACCGTATGTTCAAAATTAAATAGATAAACTCCCTATGCACATCTTTATATTTTCCTCAGCATACAAAAAAATCATATGTGTATAGAGCGTCCATAACCATTACAACATTACTCCTCATTTTAAATTTTGTTTGTGATATTATGACCCTTGAATAACTGGACTTCAAGTATTTCTCGGAAAGATACGAATGTTGCGTCAAAAAGTATATTTTTAAGGTAGAGTTTGTTCTTGCACCATGTTTTTTAAGCAAGAAATGTATATTTTTGCATACTTTGAGGATATAATTTCAAATATATGGAGCAAAAACCGTCTTATATGGTAAAATCATAGTATAAAGAAATGATCTTTTTGCCCTCTGTGGTGTACGCATGTTATTTCAAGGACAAATGTTTAATACTTGTATAAGATTGTTGCAAATAGTGGCTATTTTTCATAGAGTATACATAAAAGTTAATTGAAATATCAATAAAAAAAATGCTATTATTGAGATTTATTTTTTGTTGAACCATAGGTATTTCGCACGCTTTGTTCGTCCATCTTTATCAACACGGTAAATACTCGTGTTTATAGTATAATCTTCGATAAAGAGTCTCTAATCATAAACTGAAAGCATAAAAATCATCATTGACTTTTAATCAATTTCAACTTTCTTTTTCCCGTACTTTACAGCTCTAATAGAATCATGTAGAAAATAAAGTATTTTCATGGAATTCAGTTTGAAAACGTGAAAAGTAATCCCGATGCCTATATTTAATTTAATATTATTTTAAAGAAGAGGCCAAGAACATACAAATTACCGTTTTCTGAGAGACTCTACGCAATCTGGATACATTTCCTTTGTCTGATATGGAAAAAACTCCCGTATGCATGACTGGTTTTCTTCATTTTTCATTGAAAATGACAGTTTAAAATATGATTTTTTGTCTTGTTTACCTACAAATTATGCCCCGAAACACCTTATTTGACCAAGCTAAAGTTATAAAGCATCATTTAAGGAATTTATTTCTCAAATTTGAGAAATCTGTAGGTACCTTTCATTTACTAGATCTTGAACTTAATGTGGAAAATCTCTCCAATCTTGTAATACTTCCAAAGCGCCTCGGTTGAGAAGCTAGATATTCTCTAGTGATGTGGTCTACCAAAATCAACCAACTTTCCTGTGCAAGCATTATGAAACAGGATACGTATAATTAACTATTTATAACAGTACATAATACTCTTTATATGGAATAATGATTTAAAACCTTTGTATTAAACAAATTCTGAGTGGATAACAGCGTTGGAACATATCTTGCACTGGAAATGTTTCTACATGACGTGTCATCATCCAGGAAGTTGAGGTTCCGTGACATTAACATGCAGTATAATGATAAATCAACATGTTTTTGATAAATTTCAGTGATGGACGCGTCATTTATTTACGTACCAAATATAGTCGACAGAATCCATGTACTCGGTATATGCACATACTCGACAGGATAGTGACCCCATTCCAGAAGGACATTGACTCGTCGTCGATGTTTGCAACAGTTAGCACTGTCACCGCAATCTAATAGACACTACTATTTCCAATATTTTTAAACCGCGTCCCATCAAGACGTAATTATCAGTTTGCTCATTGAAGCCCCCAGTGGGTCCAGGGCAAAGCCCTGGTGGGGGTTCGGAGGCGAAGCCCCCCCCCCCCCCCCCGAAGCTGACTAATTCTTATATATTAAAGGGTTTTTCCCCTTCATTTTAGGATAATGGACATATAAGGTCTACATACAAACAAGAGGCCCAGGGGCCACATCGCTCACCAGAGCACTGTGGCTAGGAAACAAACAAAAATCAGTTTAGTATTGAAAAGCTTAAATGCATAGTGGTCCCGACCTACCCCTAAAAAGGGGGGGGTATGATTTGAACAAATTGAATCTACACTAAGGATGCTTACATATTATTTGACGGTGACCTTTTTTTACCTACAAGTTTGAACTTTCACTGTGGCCCCACCCTACCCCCGGATTCAACAAACTTGAATCTACATCACCTGAAGATGCTTTCACATTAATATGACCAATCATTGCTTTGCTGTTCTTGAGAAGAAGATTTTTAAAGATTTTTACTACATATTCCTATGTAAAACTTTGATCGTCCACTGTGGCCCCACCCTACTCCCGAGGGTCATGATTTTCACAAACTTGAATCTACAGTACCTGACAATGATTCCACATTAGTTCCATCTTTTCTGGCCCAGATGTTCTTGAGAAGAAGATTTTTAAAGGATGTTATTAATTTTTCATTAATTTTCAATTATCTCCCCTTGGAGGAGGGCGTGACCCTTCATTTGAACAAACTTGAATCCCCTTCACCCAAGGATACTCTTTGTCAAGTTTGGTTGAAATTGGCCCAGAAGTTCTGGAGAAGAAGATGAAAATGTGAAAAGTCAATAACGTTAACGACGACGACAGACAACGGACAAATTTTGATCAGAAAAGCTCACTTGAGCCTTCGGCTCAGGTGAGCTAAAAATTCAAATGGGAGGGGAGTTCCATCTTTGATTATACCTACTACCCGGAGTATTCTTCAGACCATTCTTTTTAAGTTTGAGAATTCCGTGTTAGCATCTAAGTTTAATTTACTTTGTTAGTCAACATTCGCAAATATTAGTGTTGCTACAAGGAAAATGCATCTTTTAATAGAATAAGGAACCATTTTGAGGGAAGTTTGTTTTCCATCTGTGCTTTATAGCAAGTCGAAATTTGTTTATCTTCAAACTGCATACTCTATAACACTGACTCATTTTACACAGGTTGACCTCAAGTCATTTTCTCCGTCTCCCCATCATGGCATTGACTATAAAAAACATTCTGAGAGTATTTCGTAAGCAATACTTAGTCCTCTACTTGTTCGTCAAAAATTATCGAGAGAAACGATATGCATTTGATATGCAACTCATCAAAATGGACTCCCATCAAAAATCAGTTCAATATATATACAAGCATCTAGAAAAAAAAAGTCTGGAAAACCTGGTGGAACAGAATGACTGACCTACAGTCCCCTCCGGTTACACGAATAAAGTACTGATAATGACAATTGGATTATTAGTGGCCAAACCGGAGGAACTATAGGCTTCCTGTCCATCTGTCTGTCAACTGGCTGCAGTAGAAATGAAAAGTTTTGAACAAGATTTCATTTAGACATATTGTATTTTTATGTAAAATAACGATTTCATCTACATAAATGAATAATGTACAATATATACATATGATCTGATAAAAAGTTAGCACTTAACAGTAAAACTATCAACAAACCTTAGGACATCATATGTCCCCATTACGATCCTACAAAACCTGATCTCCCAAAAATAATTCTATAAAAGAAAACCAAAGTTTCTATAATAAAATACCGTAAATCCTCAAAAGCATGCGGAGTATAAAAATTTGTAACAATTCTAGGTACAATTTCGAACTTTCCCCCTAATGTTTTACCTAAAAATAAACTTCAATAAGTATATTCTAAACAAACTTATCAAATCAGCTTTTTATTATATATTTGATACTACTTTCCAAAATCAAGTAATACGATACCATATGTCTTGAGATTTGAGTAAAGGTGCGCAAAATTCAAATTATTATACATGAATTAACAATTTAACACTCATATGCAAATAAGCTGGACAAAAATCACACACATTGATAGTGACAGTCAGTAAATTCAGTCTCTCAAACATAGCACTATATTCCACTAAATAATAAAGTCTCTTGATAATCATCTCATTAGAAATTATCCTCGTAATGTGTATCAACAGGGAGAATTATACCAATGTATGTACCATAACAGTAAAATCTATAGCAAACCCACTTTATGCAAATATCTGTTTATTACCTCCAAATAACAAATTAATGATATAAACACTGGACATAAATCATTTTGACAGCTGCATGTGGTTTACCATAACTGTTTTACTGAAATGTTACAATGGTAAGATTCCAACATTGTCAAGCATTACTCATGAATATACACAATGTGTCAGGGACAAAGGGACAACTGGAAACTGATATAAAGTCCTTCACAAATCACATCTCCTTTGATATCTGGGCAAGTCTGACTTAATCATCAGAATAAAACAGTAAGTGAGAAATCATACAATTAATCTCCATTTTGTCATACAGAGTACATAAAATCATTTAAACCATGTGCTTTTATGTTGATACATACGGTACATAGAATTGTGGAAATGAACACCAGCTATAACCTTTCTCAGTGTTACAAAACCTCTATTTAAAACACGATGAATTCCTTTTGAAAGAAATTGGAGGAATAAGATGTAGAAAATGCCCCTAGTATATAAAATCATTATTTTAATGCAATGTTTTCAACATTCACAGAATAAAAATGGCGCAATATTTTTTGTCTATGGTAATTCTATGTGGTGTTTAAATCTCAATTATGCTATGCCTTTTTAACTATCAAGTTTTATATTTTTTCATACAACTATGTTTTATAATATTGTATTTACAATATGAAGTGATTCCTCATTCCATGTTTAATTTTCTTTCATAGTTAACTCAAAATTCTATATTTTAACTTGAACCAGCTTGTGAAAGATACTTTTAACATAATGGAGCAAATATCCTCTCACTAAAAAAAAAAATAAAAGCAACAATACCTTGACCAATAGTGGGCATTTTCTCTTCTTATTCCTCCATGTTCTAAACACCAATCATTTAATGCAGATATCTTACATAAGAGAATATTTTGAACCACACATAAATCATACAATTTCTTGCCAAACCTTGCATTCCAAATGACAAATGAAAAAAAGATTTCAACAATTATCATATTTCTATGGAATAAAGTCACAATTCGTAATTTTCAAATTATAACTGCATTTTTAACAAGATTATATATGACATCTACAATAAATACCATCTTGTCTGTGTATTCTTAATGAATCTGGTTGATTTATTTCAGAAGATGCATTTTATTCATTCATTCATTCATTTAGGAGGCAGTCCTATGCTCCATATGGAGTCAACAGATATATATGTCAATTTATTTAGGAGAATACATGAAAACAAGCTTCAATAAAATGCTACATAAACCAATCTTACAAAAAAATCCCAGCTGCAAATATGTTTGACAATTTTCCTAAATTAGGAATACTTGTCAAAAGGACACGAATCATATGTATATGTGTATCGATACGACTTTAATGATGTTTCATCTTGAATTACCTCTGAATATCATAAATAATCACAGCTATATCATGTTTAATACATTTTGATTTTAAGATATAAAAAAAATACACTTGTTTTCATGATACTTAATTGTATAATTTTGAAGTTGGTAAATATTATAGTTTTAGCACTATATATAGCCTGACACCGGGGGAGAGTCTAACTGAAAGCATCAGACATAAACTGATCCTGTACATAAACTGAGTCTGCCAGAGTTGAATTTATAAACAGGCCCATCAGAAGTAATTCATGGTTTAAACACTAGAGTTGCCGTGACAATATTTACGAGAAAATGTCTCCTCATCCTTAACTTGCTCCATAGGGACATGGCACTCCCTAATCAGGTGCTGCTTGGGGATGGACTCTCCAACATCTCTAGGAGGAAAGTGTCTATTGGAGTATCACCTATTAATTTGAAAAAGAATAAGTGTTCCAAACACTTGAGCCCTATGCTTCTAAGTGCAGGCAACCGAAGCAGTAGTTTGGCAAATCGCCCAGGTTCATCAGGGTAGTGCGTTTTACAGTATTCTTCAAGTGAAGCATACACTTTTTCTCTCAGCTGTTCTACCTCAGAAACAGCAGAAAGGCCTTTAGCATCTATACAAAGAAAGTGCAAAATTAGACAAATTTCTCAAGTGATTTGACAAACTTTCATGAAATATACATGTAAGTTTTAAAATTGATATTACAATTATTGTTCTTAAATCTTAACCAGTGAAACCAAGATTCTGACCTGGGTTAAACAGAACAATAGCTCGCAAGCATCCCAGCTCTGTTTTATCCATTTTCATTTCTCGCATTTTAGCAACCAGCTCTGTGAGGACACGATCAAAAATGGTTCCAACACCAGCTTGGTGAGCACTACTTCTGTGTACATGAAGGCCAGTGGCTAGCAGTATACCATCCTTAACAACAATCGATCGATGTGAAAAACCAGCTATCAGTAGCTCATTCCAACCTGTAAATAGTGTACTGCCATTTATAAACAAGATTTGTTTCCCTTTAATAATATATCATGAGAAATCAAGATCTTTAATTTGCATTCCACCTTCTGGTGTATTGTCGTTAATTATTAAGTTTTCTTATAATTCCACCTTAACCAAAGTTGTTTTGAGAAAAACAATCACACACACATAATTTTGAAGATTCAGATAAAAGAATCTGGGGAAATAAGACGAGCCATGTGCCCGCACCCATTTTTCAGCTATGCAAGAACATTTATTGGAAAAAATCTCTCAATTGTTTGAATTTACTTAAGCATTTTAATGTTTACAGTAGTTCTCAAAATGATATTTATATTCTAAACAAGCTAAACAGTTGACTTTCATTTACTGTCACAAGTGTCCAACATGGGTAGGGACTTCTATTAATTAATCTGCATAAGTGTTAACACTTATTGTGGAGATATTATAAAAATGTTAACATTGTATATAATAATAGTGGTGATCTAGAAGCGCTTGTAGTAAAAATAAATAAAAACAGGAATAAAAGTATTCAAATATCTATTATAATTTTTATCCGGCATTTTAAATAATTTACTGTAAATGAGTTCATCACTACATATATATATATATAATTTCCAGTGAAAAAAATGTTATTCCTATAGACATTTTTTATAAAGTAAAACAAAATTAACACCCTCCCCAAAAAATAAAAAAATCATGACTCGAACACTTTCCTCAATAAACGTCCCTTTAAAGAGCTCCTCGCTAACCACTATACCACAGAGTCACACATACATACCCATTTAAATAGCATACAGTTCTCTATATTTAGCAAGCGTATTTGGACTTAGAATTTTTTAAGACCATGGTGAAAATAAGTAAGTAAGTAACTAAGTTAACTTAATTTTTTTATGTAGAGTGGGTCTTCATACCAAATTTTTGCAAGTGTAAAAAGCAACATCTTTCCATTGCCTTTCATTAATCATTCTCAAAAAAATGGTACGATGACCCACTCTATTTAAAAAATGTAGTTATATCATCCAATTTATGTCAGTTTTTGTGAAAATTAAGCGTGATGCCATTTTTTTGTGTTAATCAGAATCATTTTCGCTGTTACAATATTCAGGTTTTGTCAAATTTGTATGCAAATGGTAATAAGCATTACATTAATTCAACAAAAAGTGAATTTTTTAAAAAATGAATTTACTGATTTTTTATCGATAGTTATGTAGGCATACGGCTCGGCTTATCCCCCCAGTTTCTTTATATGAAATTTTACAATCAAGTAAATCTACGCAAAATAAAAAAAAATACATAATCATTTGTAAGCAGCTTTGTACAAACTCTGCAAAATGAGTACAACATAATGTGTAAATTCTGCAACCATTTGATTTTTGTAAAATTTGCAGTTCAAATCAAATTATTTTTATCAGTAAAGGGAATGAAAAGGCAAAAAATTTTATATAATTCACAACAACACGAAGCAATTTTTCCTCTGTCATCTGGGAATGGTAAGTATACATGTATTTCTTGCACTGGGAAAAATGCCACAAAATAAACAGTTTAGGATTTCCCCTTTCCAGCATTATAATTGCTTATTGTGCATGTGTTCATCGACCAACATATTATTTAGGCTAGCTTTCTGTATTAATCTTCAAGTAATAATATATTTCTGGTAATAGGGTTAATTTAAATGTATAAACTCTATATAAAGAGGCTTTTTTTTTCTTTTCTGGCACAGTGGATAAGACATCTCTTTCATCATTAAATAATTATCTCTATTTGGAAAGGAAAAAAGAAGATAAAAATGCAAATGTCATGAATATATCCACTGGACTAACTTTTGGAAAGCTAACTTGTGCTTTTGGATCAGGTGAGCTAAATATTCAAAAGTGTATCTGACAAATTACTATGTTAATTTCAGAACCGCTTTCAATTGACACAGACTCGTATTGAGAGTCCCTGACCTACCTGCCCTCAGTAGAATAACCTGGTCGTCTAGAGGCAGTTCGGTGAAATGAGGTATTCTTTTGGCCCACTCCACCAGTGTGAACAGTTGCTTGTCTGCTGCCTGACATATATTCGTTACTGCATCTTTCTGCAACAGAAAAATTTCTCTTTGAATTATGTGCTCCAAACTTTATTCTTTGCAATGCTTTAACAATAAAACAAGATTTACTGAAATAAAACAAGAGACTGCATATAAACACTTTAACCATCATTTGGTACTGTGTTTTCAATAAGGCAGACATGTGATATATTAGGCCTAAAAAAATTAATAACTTGGTTCTCAGGCCCGCCCGCATCTCATTCAACGATGCGCATTACCCATTTTTATCCTTAAATGAATAAAATAAAATTTCTCTCATGCGCTTGTGTGGTGCCAAAAAAAAATCCGGAATTCCCGACCACATTTTGACTGCATTTTAGAAATCAGTAAAACGTTTGAGAAACATCAAGATGATCCAAACTACTGACCTAGTTAAAAATCGCAAACATGGCCGTCGAGTTAACAGGATAAGGCATCAAGATTAAGTTTAGTCATGATGGCATGGATTTCAGTGCAAATTCATAAGGGAATGACTGTAATACTTTCACGGTACAAAGTGGGTTTCTGAAGGATTTACCATGGTAGAACTCGATCAAAGATGGCTACCTTAACCTCTGAACTTGGACGTCAGCAAGATTCGCAGATTTCAATTAGTGTGGGTAAAACACTGACTGATAAATTTGACAATGTTTAATAAAATCATAAGTGCTATTCATAGTGCTGAAACACTTAGATTAGTTGTGTTACATAAGCAATTGACCAGATGCATCACTAAAAGTGTTGGGTTCTGTAAGTTTAACACGTCTGGGTTTTTTAACACATCGTTTCATTACACAAATCATCAGAATGTAGAAGATGTAAGAGAAAAGAGAAAGAAGCAGGAAATAAATTGTCTTGATTTCTACACTCGATGTTGAAGCACTGTTGATTAAAAGTTGCTAGTTTTGAAATTATTAAAAAAAAAAATCAAAATTCCCGCGTCTGTTTTTTATGAGATAAAAAGGAAAAAAAATGCCTCCCTCCCGCATTTATTTTTGTTGAGAAAACTGGCCTGAGAACCAAGTTATTTTTTTTTTTTGGCCTTAAATGTATATTTTCTAAAACTTTTAAAATAAAACAAATTAAAAAATAATGTCTCATATTGTGTTTTGACCAAGTTTTCTGAATTCTGTTTCCCTTTCTTCAACTTGATTACATTGATGGATAAAAGAAATGGATGGGATATACTGGAACTTGGAGAAATGCTGAAATTGTTTTGAAACAATCTATTTACTTTAGAGATAGGAAACAAAGTTCCTCCCCTTATCTTGTGATAACTGCTTTGAAGACACACTAAATGATGCAACTGCTTCTATCAGTAACCAAAGCATGTATCTTGTTTATTCAGAAATCATCAGAGTTCAGTCGGCTACATGCCACTGTCTCTAACCTGTCAACTACTCTCATTTATACTATCTGTCAATGTCTTAGTTTGGATAAAATTCCTCAAGTTTTGTGATAATTTTACAAAGTCAATGTGTGAAAAATCTAAAACATTAAAATACACTCAATGACATCTAGCAGATGATTTTATTGAGAGAAAAAAAAACCCACTTGGTTCATAGGTCAAAATGAATAAACTAGTTGTCACCTGAGCATCTATATATGTGTCTGTCTTTGGTTCCACTGCTAATTCAGCTTCCAAGACTTTCTCTACAGGCATGTCTGAGTTAGCACTGCTTGTGCTCTCGACTTCTCCTTCGCCCTTCTCCTTAACTCTCTGTCTCTCCTCCTGGACAGCTGTCAACAAAACAAAGATTCTGTATTCAAGAGGCTGACTTTGTTAAGAAAAGGTAGTATTGCTCACCTAAACCAATCTAGCTGTTAAACTACACATGTATTAAAGCTGTCAGAAGACTCAGATTTTGAGAATTCAAAAGATGTCTGTGTTGGAATATGAACACTGGACTTCTTTTCAGTTTGAAGCTTACTTTGAGACAGATTTGGTGACGTGCAGTGCTGTTTGGAATCAAAGATGAAAAATTGTGAACTTTTGTTAGACTATGATTTTTTTATACCACTCAGAAGCTTTTTGGGTAAGTGAGCAATGTCTACTATAAATCCATGCATGGTGTTTGACACAAATATTGATACAGCCAAAGTATGGTGTGTGTACTTGTTTGAACTACAGATCTAAGCCCAGTAATACATTGCATGCTGTTACCACTACAATGGATCTGTTCACTGTCCAGATTTCACAGGATCTGAATATCATTGCCTGAGAAATGACAGTCTCTGCAAGATTTCTTCAAAGTCCAAATAACATTCTCTAATATTTCAAGAGGGTAACTAGCTTTTTAGTAATTTTTGAATTATGCAGAAGATAAAAAGAAATCATGCACTTGCAAGCAACACTGCATCTGGTGTACAGTAAAAACAGCCTTTAGCTAAATGTAATGACAATCAATCCAAAGGATCATTTCAATGAAATCTTAAATAAATTATTCGTTCAATGATTGATTTCATCCATTAAAGCATAATAACAACCTAACAGAAGTCAGTAAGTCCTAACAATAATTCTTGAGATTTGTAAGACATTTTTTTTTTTATCAATCAGGCATGCAGAAGTGGTAAATAGGTGAAATTAGACCAATCACAGCCCTGGAAAAGTTTTGAATGGACCAATCAGGGAACACCAATTCTAAGGTCACTGGAAAGAAAAGTTAACAGATAATAGTGTATTAAGTAACCCTTCCACACAGAGTCGTCACTACAGTAGTTTAGTACTAGACATGTAAATATATGCTTGGCAATACATGCCCTAAAAACTTTCCAAGTCTCAAAACATTTTCAAGGAAATTTCATTTTTGCACAAGTTTCTATTCCTGTCTTTTCCTGTAAAACTTAATTAAATCTAATGAACAGGCAGAAGATAGGGGAAAAGTGAATTTAATTTTGAATGTTCTAAAAGCAAAGCTTTAAGCTGGCATTCTTAAAGTGCCTGGAAAGCTCTATTTGTGAAGACTTTATGAAACACAGTTTGACTTCAGTGGAAAAACATTTCAAAAGAGGATTTTAAATTCATTGCAGAGAGATGGAGATATTTAAATGCCAATGCCAAACACATGTACCGTTGGTAATTTCTCCCCTCCCTTCTACCCTATTTACCACTCCTACGTACATGATCCTTGGCGCCCTGCATCGGTGCTGCATTTAACATCTGTAATATCAACATGAAGCAAATGTGAAATAACACAAAACCCTACACAGACCACAAACATAATCTGGGGAACAGATGTCATATGAATGACACAAAATAAGTGTGCCATATCTGTCTCCTGTCCTTAAGGCAAACAGATTCAAACAATTTTACTTTATTTACCTGACTTTGATGATTAAAGTCTTATATTCCCCAAAATAAATATGTGTTACAAAGTTACAATATTTCACCAACACACATGCAAATGACAAGACGAACACTAATGAAGTATGACACAGTTCTACAGACAATGTTTTCCTCTGTACTTAGACAACCTTCCAAACCTAATGATACAAATGTGCTGTGTACCAGTCTGTTAGTGATTGTCAAGGTGAATACTGATGCATACTGTACAGGGTTAAAAAATAGAACACTCTATAGCATGTAGTTTAGTTTAATGTGGACAAATTTTCATGTCTTTTCATCATTCAAAAAACTTAGCACTTTGCCATACCATTTTTTTTTTTTTTTTGCAAATTGCAATAATTTTTGTTCAGTATGGTATGTTTACAAATATTGTTGTGTTTGACATTTAAGAAAATTTTTCTACTCCCTAGACCCCTAAATTGTAACTGAAATATATATATATATTTTAAATAGAACTTTACTTCTTTCCTCTAGAACAAATTAGCTTGCATAAAGTGTAAAAAGAAAAAAAAAAGAAAAAGTAATTCAAATATTAATTGTCAACATATTTGTGTGTGCAAAAATACATAAACATAATCAAAGTATACATGATCACACTGTAAGATAATCTATCTCTGTAAGTATATATATTTTTTTCAAATTCATTCTTTAAGTTTGCACACTTTCAAAATTCATTAGTAACTAACTCTTAAGCTGTGCATCACCCAACCTCATTTATTTTGAGCTGACAAATTAACTGAACTTAAACATTTTAATACAGCCACAAGTTTTGCATGCAGTTTGTATCAGTGGATTTTAAGGAATTAATATATATACAAGCTATCTGTGAATACTACGCTTCCAAAGACTATCTGTCCCAGTTGACAATGAGCTGCATACCTTCTCTTTTCATTCCCATGTTTAGACACTTCATGTAGCGGCAGTACTGGCATCGGTTTCTCTGCCTCTTGTCTATAATACAGTTGCGATCATCCCGACAAGCATATGTCAAGTCTTTTCGCACTGTTCTTTTGAAAAATCCTTTGCAACCTTCACAACTAAAAGTAAACATAAATTGATCTAAAAATCATCACCAGAAGAAAATCCATATGTTAAATTATATCTGTTTTTTTTTACCAATTGCAACTTCTCCTACTTTGCTTCAGTCTTTACCAAAACCCACAAGTCTAAGAAGATGAGGCCAGTAAAATATGCTGGGGGGCAGTAAAACTGAAAATAATTTTGATGGGCTTTCGGGGATTTTTAAAAAGCCGGTATTTTTGCCAAATTTTTGCTTTAAAATCCCCGACCAATGAAAAAAAATCAAACTTTTCATTAACCTCCTTCTTCTAATCTATTTAGCAGTACTACATGAGTTATTTATTCCTTAAAAAAAAAATCCTCTTTTTATCTTAATTTCCTCCATTCCTCTGTTTATGCCAAATTCATGTGGGTACTTTCATTGACTCAATCATCTGAAGAGTAAGTGTTATGTGATTTATTACAGGAACACAAAAAATATATTTACAATTCATTTGAAATATTTAATCAATGCAAATAAAAACTTAATTTTGGAGGAGCTAGTCTCATTTCTTTCCTAAAAACAGCACTTTTAAACTTTAGATATACATGTACTTTCAATCACAACAGTGTTGACTCATATGTTTACATTCTCATTAGAAAAGAAGTTGTGACTGATACACAAAAAGACAACATTTAAAGAAAGTTAAAAATTAGATAATTGTCATTGATAATAAAGATTAAAGAACACTTTATCTGATAATGAAAATGTGTGTGTTTGTTGGGTGGGTGGGGGGTGGGGTTGGGGAGGAGCTCCTAATATCCCAAGGGAGCTGTAGTTTTCATAGACTGGCAGGTCCTCCAGGCCAGTGGTGGAAATTAGTTTTGGTAAAGACTGCTGCCTGTTTTGTGCTCTTGGTTCAAACTATTATAAAAGTTGATCAAAACTTGTGTAATATTATCAAATATGTTGTTTGGGTTGTAGAAACTGAAAATATTGAAAATATACCTGTAGACTCCATAATGTTTCCCTGAAGCTCTGTCTCCACATATAGCACAGATATGTTTACTGTTGAGATTACTGTGTGGCATGTGTGGGTTTGTTCCCGGGGGTGAGGCTGCAGACCCAGGAGAACCAATGGACATCATGGAGGGGGATGTTACTGAAGAAGAAGGCGAGTGCAAACCCGGTGACATCATGGGCTGGGACCCAGGGGAGGCCTGTGACTGGGACATAGGGTGTTGAATTCCATAGGGATAAAATGAGGGTGAAACTAGTGAGTTTATATCTGGCTTAATGTCTGGTGGGGAACCCATCTGTGCCATGGAGCTGATTCCCATTGAGGGAGACATCCCCATGTTGATACTGGCAGCTGTTGACATGCTTGAATTGCTGCTTACCCCATCTAGAGAATCTGGAAAAAACAATTACACACTAACTTTACAATATGCTCATTTTATATTTTGCATTTTTAATTCATATACATATGCATTCATAAAAGGTGTGATATAAATAATTATTCTAACTAGGGCACAACAAATCACAGCATTCCCTTGCAAAAGAGAACATTTCTAAGAGATCTGTTTCTTACAACACACCCACCATTCCATATTGGAATGTGAGCTGAGATACCAAGATTAATCCTGAAAACATAAATGCCTATGCATGGTTGCTATTGTCAAAACATATATCATGATTACATGGTTTATTTCTTTCTTTATATTTAATGAAACATGTCATATAATCTCTTACACTTTAAAAATTTATGACATATTTACCTTGGATACTTCCATTAACTGATTAAAGTAAGCAGTTAAGGTGAAATATCCCTCTGCTCTAAATTTCACCATTTTTTTTTTTAAATTCACAACATTGATTTTCATCAGCTACAATAGCATTAGATTCAAATGGAAAATAGTTTATAGTATAAACCGTTGCTTACTTTTTCAAAAATGAATATTGTGAATATTGTGTCTACCTAATCATGGTATGATGAAAACACAAGACAGTAAATAGAAAGATCAATTATATTATCTCAACATAAAATTAAAAATATGAGGTATATATGAAAATGATATTTACTGTCATACATGTTTATTAGAAAATATAATGAAGCGTTGCTTTTTAAATAAGAATATCACATTGTTTTCTGTGCTTGTAAAAAAAAATGTATCCAAATACAAGTGTTATCTTTCCATCAGCAAGATTTATCTTTCTTAAAAATATCTTTTAAGGGAAAAAAAATTATTAATTATGAAAATTCTGCATTTAATATATGATAAATTACTGAAGCATTTAAAAAATTTATTGAGAGATAGAAATATCTCAAATTAAGTTTAACGGTTTAAAAGACCTGAGTGCAAATGTTTTAGGTCAACTATTATAAATAACCATCAAAAATATTGGCAAAAGAAAATATAAACCAATATTTGTAACATAATTTTTATTCGATGGAATTGACTTTAATATGGTCCTTATTATTAAACTCTGATAAGACAATTCATAGGACAGCTTGGAAGAATTTCTTTGAAAAGTTATCTCTCTTATCAGAGGAACATTTCACCTAAGTTTCGTGTTGAGGAAAGACCACTTCCAATCCGATTGCACAACTCAATATTCACATTTACAAAAAGGACAATAATATTGTTAAAATACTGAAGCTTTTGTTTACTTTGTTTAACTTTTTAGTTTTTCTGTATATTTCTGTGATTGCAATACAAAAATTATGAAAAACAATTTAGAATAACAATAAATATTCAATTCAGCAAGGCAGCAAATGCTATTGATCCCGATTGAAATTATGTCACTTCCGTAATGCACACACTCACCCACATGCACATTACTATATCCCCTCCACCTTCATAGCTAGGGGATAATAAAACAATATAGCATTCACCTAGCAATTTTACACACCGTAGCAAGAAATTTTCAATTTGCCACTTGTTTTGGTTGGACAATAGACATAAATGTTTACACGTCATATCATGATGTTATGCAATTCTTTGAAAGCATGCAACTATATCCCTTTGAGCTAAATGTATAATGAAATATTTGTCTACAACTTCTTCATATGTGTGAGTTACGTATAATATGTGTAAACAACGGAAATTATTTCCTTAAAAAGTCATATTCTTTCTGTATGACTGATAATCAATTTGTCAAACTGTCACATTACTACAGGTAAATAAATGTCTTTAACACTTCGTATTTACATAAAACATGAATAACATTGAAATATTTGTATATTTGATTTAACGCATTGAATAAGCTTTCGGAAAAAATGACGTAAGCTATAAATGAGGGTAAAAATCGATTATTATTTTCTAATTTATCAAACATGGCACCTATGCTTGTTCCCCGGAATGTTTAAACGGAGTTCATTCAGAGGGCATGAGACGCGAGGCATCATGACCTAGCCAGATTTAAAACCGAGCAATATTTCTCCCATCTTGTCCCGTGTTTACACAAAAAATGATGATAAAAAATTATACTCAAAACACTAGACCTTTTTAGTTCTTATATAAACAATTTGAGCTAAGGCAAAAAATGTTCCTGATGAACCCTTCTACAGGTACGCTCAACCCCAAATATTTCAAAATGGCGGCTAGTTTAGCTAATGTTTATTTCTTGTACTGGGTGCGATTATCGAATGTTTTGCACATGACAAACACTGTAAATGCTCAAACGTCAACATGTATACATACCCATTTCTGATGGATCCATGCTTATATGTATCGCTTCAAATAATAATAATAACAGCACTAAATCAATCGTTTTGCAACATAGCCACAGACCTCATTACACTGAAATTTATCTGACCCACTTTACCACATATTGCGATATACGGAGTTTCCCATAATGCAATGGGGTTTGAAATTCGTTCTGGCATTATCCAAGCATAATGTACTCTTTTACTAAGGATTTATATGGAAAATCTATTGAAACTTAAAATTCTAACTCACTGGTGAAAGACACATCACAGTTTATTAATTTTAACGAAGTCATCTCTGTTTATTTGGAATGTGGTATCAACTGGGATCAGAGGTCAAGGTTTACATGAGGTGACGTAAACACTTGGAGAGCCATCGCTCGAAGAAGTCAGTCACCTGTTATACATGTTACAACCCATGTTATACGTTTAGCACTTGGCATGTTTGTAGAAAGTAAACAATAAAACATTACAATTGATTGACTCAGCAGTAAAAAAAATCTGAACAAACCTATTTAAAAAAAAAATCAAGCGAGGCTTTATTTAAAAACATTGAACTAGATCTATCTGACATGTATGCATGTCAACATACATGTACAATGTACATTAACTTACTGTACATAACTCTTAGTCATCCAATAAGATCTCTCACAAACACATCTAAACCTAGAACGTGTACAAGAGGCCCATGGGTCACAACGCTCGCATGAGTCAATATTTCTCATCATGACCATTGAATACATTGATAAAAAACGAAACCCCTTATTAGATTACCAAATTAAACTCCAAATCTTCTAATTTTAAATAATGATTTTAAAAAGAACTTTGAATCGAGTTCCCCAATCGAACGTTTGCTCAAGTACCCATGATCAGGACAAATTATATATATATATATATATATATATATATATATATATATATATATATATATATATATATATATATATATATATATATATATATATATATATAGACAACCTATGTCTAAATGTGAAACTCAAAACACCACCAATGTACTAAATGGGAAGAATTGCTCTTCATTATATGTTGTATTCTGTCTGTTATCTTATCTGTAATTATACGTTATATGTTTATGCCCATTGGGCCCTGATTTGGTAATAAATCCTATTCTATTCTATTCTATTCTATATACATCTTCACGACATGGAATGCTTAACTATTATTTCATATCCTTCCTTTATAAGAAGAAACCTTCTTTTTTTTTTTATAGATTTAACTCTATCATCAGTCCCATGTTATATTGACCCTTATTAATTGTAACCCCCCCCCCCCTCAGCCCAGAGAGATTAGCTTCAAAAAATTGATTCTACACTGCATGGACATTCGTGTATCTTTGTATGCCTAAAAATGTTGTCCCCGAGAAACTTTTCTTTTTCCTTCATACATTTATGACCAAATATAACGTTAATTAAATTGACCCTCTAATGTGGCCTCGCCCTATTGTTCTCCAGAAGAGGATTTTTATGCTCTTAAAGCTTTGAGTTACAAATGTGGCCCCATCCTGCCCAAGAATCATGAATGGAACAAATTGGAATCCACATGTTACGTCAAGTGTCTGTGAATTCAAATACACGCAAATACTTGCATATTAAAATATGCATAATTAAGACCCTGCTGTTCTTGAGAAGAAGATTATTAAAAATTGTTTCTCGAATATTTCTTCATAAAATAATAACCGTGACCCCATCCTTGCTTGCAGATGAATACAATTATTTTTGTTCAGCTAAGTTTTGAGAAGATTTTAAAGGACTTTCGCCATACCTTTGCTCCCAGATAACATGACTATGTTGGGCCAACATTGGCTGTGGGTTGTAAGGTTGGCATCGGTTTAACAACGTTGGGCCAATGTTGGCCCGATGTTATGACTGACTGAAACAATGGGCTAATACTTAGGTTGGCCTCGGTACGCTGTGCCAACGTTGGGCCAACGTTGGCTTAATGTCATGTTGTACGTTTTATAAAATAATTAATAAGGCAGCGTTGGACCGACATCGGCCCAATGCGGAAACAAACTCTAATTCTGTTTAATTAAATTACATTTTTAGTAGTGTATTATATCATTATATTATGTTTTCTTCTTGTTGCTGCATCAAACCCTTGAATGTTTATGTCGGATCCGAATTTCAGAAGTAATATAAGGGTATATACAAATTATACGAAGGGAATGATCGAGTCAAGCCACGACAAAACCAACATTGGGCCAACATTGGTCGAATAATCAAAATGTTTATGATACGTGCAGATTAATTATAATGTATTGAATATAATGGGTTTTGTTTAATGCAAAACCAATATCTTCAATTTTATCACGTTTACATTTCGTATCAAATATTATTTATATATAATCATTTCTGATTACGTGATATGATATAAATATATATATATATATACATTTTGAAATATGATTTAAATCAACACAATAATCAATTTCTGAATTTGAACTTAATTATATATAATTATATTCCCAGGCTAAATTTTTCTTAGAAAGACAATCCTCACAAAAAATGGATTCCTTGCTGCGGTTATTTTTGTTCTAATTTTAGAAACGTTTAGAAACGTGTCTTCAAGATACATTTAGGTCACTTCAAAACTTTCCTTGGCTCTCCTTCTCAGCAGGACACTGGCCAGGCCTGGCCAGTTGCTTTGGCAACAGAGCTCTATTACACAATTTCCCTGCTACTTGATACTGTGTCAGCAAGTTCCCACCACTGCCGCGTGTTCAGTAGACAAAGACGTATGTGCTTTCACTGTTTGGATTTTGATATTTTGTTCACAATTGTTACTTCTACCTGGGTACCCAGGTACCGCTTCTAGCTGAATATCACCACAATGTAAGTATGCATTTTTACACATGCTTTCATGTAAACTTATAAAATGAAATGGTTAATATATCAGTGTCATGCGGCCTCTTTTGATGAACAAGCTTAAAAGTTATAGGAATTTAGACTTTCAAATTACTTTTAATTAATATATATATACAGCCTGCAAATATTAATTAAACAGTTTAATAAAACCTACCATACATACATGTACCTTTACTGAAAGTAAAGATTACAAGGTTTCAATCCACGATATTTTTAACAATTCTTTTTGGGACCCCTTATTTTCTATTTTCAAATGTTCTACAAAATATTTAACAGTTTAACATTTTTATTGTATGTTTTCTTCTGCTTTTAAATAGTTTAAAATAGTAGGAAGAGTATTAATAAAAATGCATCGGGTTTAAGTAATATTTTTGGCTCGGGTTCAAGATGCAGGAGTGATGGTAACATTTTTTTCTTGCAGATTCGAGAGTACTAGATTCTATAAACATTTGCAAAACATAGACCTGTCTATTAACTGGAAAATATATTTGTTTTTTTTTTTTTTTTTGTTTGGTTGGTTTTTAAAGACCCTGTTTTTAACCAATTAAAATGGCTGATAAAATTGAGTCTTACTGGACAGTAAGGAGGGGGGTGTTATCACGGATATCCGATCATCTGTCTGATTTACAAAATGAATCAGTACTTCATGAGGAATCACAGGCTTCAGATCAAAATATGAGTTTAGAAAGGCTAAGTAACAGACATAATTCAGGGGTACCACACACTCATTTTCGAGATAGTAATGTGGTACAGAGTAGTAATGAACTGGTTGACATGGCTGGTACATGTAATACAACATGTAGTGATTTTGAACCAACTGATGAAACTCAAGAGCAAACGAATGAAAATTTTGATGTTAATGAATCAGAAAGAGAAAATCTTGAGCATATGTTTCATTCACAAAACATAATTAGTGAATCCTCTGATGATAGTGAATCTGATATTGAACCGGAGGAAAAACCTTTTTCCCAAAAACTAGGAGAGTGGGCCACAACTTTCCAAATACCAAACATTGCATTGTTGTATTTGCTGACTCTTTTGAGACAGTATTTTCCCACATTACCAAAGGATCCCAGAACTCTGTTGCATACACAAGTAACATATGATGTGTCAGATTTAGCAGGAGGACAGTACTATCACTTTGGTATTTTGTCTAGTTTATCACAGAAAGCTGAACCACACTTGTATTTATTGGATGATGGATTCTGCTTTTCACTTCAAATAAATATTGATGGTTTGCCACTTTTCAAGAGTACAAGTGATCAATTTTGGCCAATATTGGGGAAAATACAAAACTTATGTGACAATACACCCTTTATTATTGGTCTGTTTTCTGGACAAAGCAAACCAAGTAATTTGAATGATTACTTGCAAAAATTTGTGGATGAATTCAAAGAACTAAATGATAATGGTTTTGACATTAATGGCAAACATTTCAATGTGATATTGGACTCGGTCATTTGTGATGCACCTGCAAGAGCCTTTGTTAAATGTATCAAGGGTCATTCTGGATACTCGGGATGTGATAAGTGTACTCAGTGTGGTGTATATTTGGGAAAAATGACTTTTCCTGAAACTAATGCACCTTTGAGAACTGATGCTTCATTTAATGCATTCGAAGATGAGGACCATCACAAAGGCATATCACCTCTAGTAGAATTGAATATGGATATGGTTTCTCAATTTCCCCAAGATTACATGCATTTAGTTTGTCTTGGAGTTGTTAAGCGTATGCTGCTTTTGTGGAAAAAGGGTCCTCTAAGATATAGGTTAGGCTCTCAAGATCTAAATCAAATATCTGATTCAATGCTTTCTTTGAAAAATTATGTTCCCTGTGAATTTTCTCGCAAACCCCGTTCCTTAGATGTTCTTGACCGCTGGAAGGCAACAGAGTTTAGACAATTTTTATTATATACTGGCCCATTAGTCCTCCTGAACGTTGTTCATCAAAACATATACAAAAATTTTTTGCTCCTCTTTGTTGCAATGCATATATTGTTGAATGAGAGTTTATGCAATATATACAATGTATATGCTCATGACCTTCTTGTTGCCTTTGTTTCCCACTTTGGTCAGATGTACGGTAATGACATGTTGGTTTATAATGTTCATGGACTGGTTCATTTATCAAATGACGCTGCAAAGTATGGTAGTCTTGATAATGTGTCATCATTCCCATTTGAAAATTTCTTAGGAAAGTTAAAACGCATGGTTCGTAAACCATCATTTGCTCTGCAGCAAATAATTCGTAGAC